GTACATAAATGTCTGTGATAGTATGGACATACAATGGCTCATGGGTAAAACAAATGAATGTGTTAGACATCAAAGGTCATATAGCAGTATGGTAAAGTATTGTTTCGAAAAGGGTAAAAAAGAGTTAATCATCAGGACAAAAGATGTTAGATGTCAAAGAGAGAGAGAGAGAGGAGAGAGAGGAGAGAGAGAGAGAGAGAGAGGAGAGAGAGAGAGAGAGAGAGATGAGAGAGAGAGAGAGGAGAGAGAGGAGAGAGAGAGAGAGAGGAGAGAGAGAGAGGAGAGAGAGAGAGAGAAATAGAGAGAGAGAGAGAGAGAGAGAGAGAGAGAGAGAGAGAGACGAGAGAGAGAGAGATGAGAGAGAGAGAGAGGAGAGAAGAGAGAGAGGAGAGAAGAGAGAGAGAGGGGGGGGGGGGAGAGAGAGAGAGGAGAGAGGAGAGAGAGAGAGAGAGAGAGAGAGAGAGAGAGAGAGAGAGAGAGAGAGAGAGAGAGAGAGAGAGAGAGAGAGAGAGAGAGAGAGAGAGAGAGAGAGAGAGAGAGAGAGAGAGAGAGATGGGGGGGGGGATGAGAGAGAGAGAGAGTGAAAAGGCTAAAGAGAGGGGAAGCAAAAGGTGTAAGGTGGGCGAAGATTATTAAAATGGAAAGGAGATTAAAGGCGCAGAGCGATTAGATCAAATGGAGGGTATCGTCTGAAGAAAGAAGAGGTACATTTTATGAGGAATAGTGCAAACGTGTCATTATGAAGCAACCAACGGGCAATAAGGGTAGAAATAGGTAATAGGGATAATGGGGAAAGAAGGGGTGATGGTGCAGATGAAGAAGGGGAGGGTGGGGGTGTGTTAGAAGAGAGAGGGAGGAAGAGGGGTAGGGAGGGGGACATGAGGAGGCCGAGGATGGATGTCGACTGTTACTTTGAATGCAGAGGGAATGGAAGTAAAAGACTAAAGGGTGGATGAGGGAAAAGAGGGTTCTCTTGGGTCACGTTTTGGAAGTTTTGGATGTCGTTTCTGGAGGGAAGTTGGGTGGAGAGGTCTGAGAAACGAAGGTTTTTTTATGAGGAGTAGAAGAGACAGATCTCTGGGGAGCAAAGGAAGCGGTAGGTGTTGGAAAGAATGTGGTAGGAGAAGATGGGGTGACACGTTCAGGTTGTCTGGTGCGACAGGTAAAGTGAGAAGGAGGATGGGTTGGTACTGAAGAAGTGGTAGAGATTGGAGTATCTGAATTTAGAATGGCAAAAGAATTTACTGGGAGAGAGAAGGGGTAGAGGTAGGATGATAAGGAGTAGGAATAATGCTTTAAGGTTAAAGGCTACAAAGCAAAATAAATGTGCTAGACTTCAAAGGTCTTATAGCACTGTAGTAGAAGGTGCAGTAGCAAAAAGGGGGGTCAAAAGTAATATAGCAGTTCAGGATAGTATGACAAAGAAGTGGGCAAAGAGGGGTGTGGAGAGAGAGGGTGAGTAAATGGGCTAAGATAGGGATCAACAAGGGTGATTAGATCAAAGCTGTCAAAGGAAGAAGCGTGGGATTCTGCAAGGATGTCCGTAGAGTAAGGTAGGGATTGGAAAAAAAGGAAAAGGGGGGGTTTAAGATCGATTAGATAAGTTTCAGGAGAAATGCCGGGAGGGAGGTTGCGACAGTCACATGTTTATCCAGGGGGAAACGGAAGGGATAATGGGGAAGAAAGGGGGGGATGATGTAGATGAAGCAGGGGATGGGAGGGAGTGGGAGGAAGGGGTGTAGGAGGACATGAAAAGGAGGATGGATTTCGGCAGTTACTTTGAGTGTAAAGGGAATGGGAGCAGAGAGGGGGAGAAGAAGAGACAGGTGTCTGAGGGGTAGAGCAAGATGTAGGAGGAGAGGGTGTGGTAAGAGAAGATGGGCTGGAACGTTTAGGCGGGTAGAACGAGGAGGGAGAGGGTAGGTGTCGGGGCAGTGGTAGAGATTGGGGTGTCTGGATTTAGAATGGCAAAAGCATTTGGCTTGGGAGAGGAAGAGGATAGATGTGGAGACGTAAGATGGAGGAGGAATAGATACGGGGGGAGTGTAGAAACATCTTGGGAGGAAGGTGGAGGGGAGAGGGAAGGGTAGCACTAGAATAGGGAGTAAGAGAAAAACCTCGTCGATGTGCTTCCTGCCTGGCCTCGTGGAAAATGTGGCCAAATTTGAATCTGAGAATTGCCACCTTAGAAACATCAGGCTGTGGAGCGGCAGTGTTTGGCAGGGTTGGCAAGACACCAGCAATTCTAACATTGACAGTGTGGAGGTTGATATGGTTGGACAGGGAGGGATTCTCCACCAATATAAACATAAAGGGGTAGATCATGTCTACGGAAAGTAATCTTGGCAATAAGGGTAGAGGACTTATTGTAGCCTCTAGGGATAATGATGTAGCATTGTAATGATACTGCATCGCAGTCCACGAGGCAGGCGAGTTAGTTTGCTCCACAATCTGACCAATCCTTGTCGATGACAGGGCAGTTTGTCAGGAAGATGGAGGTAGTTCTGGTGCAAGTATTGAAGGAGGAATGAGGGTGGGCAGGAATGGGTTTGCCAGTGAAGTCAGTCAGGGATGATAATGCTTTAGCTTGGTTTTCAGATGTAACTATGACAAGACATGGACGATCGGGGCGTGCGGAAGGAAACTTTGCCTACTTGTTTTTGGAGGCATTGTTGGAAGAGGAGTGTTGTCAGAGTAAGGGACTGTAGAGCGGATCACAAAAAATCGGTCCTATTTGGCTAGGTTAAACAGAGTACTCAAAAGATTGGTAGAGATGGAGGTAGCAGAAGGAAGGGGCCTTGTGTAAGAGGGAATGGCACTGAGTGAAGTACTGCGGAGAGATGGATAATAAGGCTGGAGAGTAGTAATAACAGAGGAGATGATGAAGTAGAGGTTGCTAGGAGAGGAGGAATGTTTCCTGAAGGCTTTATGACCTGGGTGGATGACTTGGACTAGACTGAGGTGACAGTAGGCATTGAGTAGGGGGTAGTAGTGGAGTTTGTTGGGGAGAGAAATGGTCCACCCCTCAGGGTCCCCTTAATAATGAAAAACACCATAATTGGCATAGGTGGGTAACTGTGCAGAACAGTCTAAAGTCATGGCAGGACAGGACTTTCCACCAATATATACTTCAAGCGGAAGTGTTTACAGAAGGTATATTGGCAATATTAGTGCAGGACTTCTGGTGGCCTCTGAGAGGAATAGTGTAGCACTGTACTGTAACTGCATCACAGTCAATGAGGCAGGCAAGCTGATCGTTTTCACACCAATCCTTGTAGACTGGGCAATCATCTGTGAAGATGGAATTCCAGTACAAGTATTAAGGGAGGAGTAAGAATGGGTAGGAATAGGTTTGTCAGGGAGATCAGTCAGGGTAGATAATGCATGAACTTGGGAGTCAAGATGTAACTATTACAAAGCGTAAACGAACAGGATGGATGCGGCAGACATGGTTGGAATCGGAGTGTATTGTCAAAGTAAGGGGGGTAAACGGAATCATAAAGAATCAATCCCACTTGGCTGAACCAAAAAGAATTCTCAAAAGATTTGTAGAGGTGGAAATAGTAGAAGGACAAGGAGAGGAGGAAGAGGGAGTGGTTTGGAGTGAGGTAATACTGCAGGGAGGAGAACAATAAAGATGAGTATTAAAAAGAAAGGAAGGAGTAGAAAATTAAAAAGACCGTGCAAGAGAAGATGAAGTGGATCATGCTGGGAGAGAGGAAGGAATGTATTCTGAAGGTTGAGTAATTGACAGCAAGCACTGAGGAGGGGGGGGGGGTGTAGTAGCAGTGGATGGAGCCGTAATCAAACGAGAGGCAAGGGTCAAGAAACCAGAGAAGCAATTTTGGATAGGCTGGTTGATGAAGGAATTAGCCTCAGTGCCCCTAATAAGGGTACAAAATTTTTTTTTACCATGGTGGGGCTAAAATATGAGGGGAAGGAAATCAGGCTAGACAATTAATCAGGGGAATACCTAATAACAATGGCTTCCCAATACTTTTTAAGACTCACAGAAAGCCAGCCTTTCATCCTTTCAGCATGGCTAATACACCATAGGAAGTGGACAGAAGAAGTGATTGGAGAAAAGACCATGCAAAATAAACTGAGCAGGGGCAGGAACAATCCCCTTATTGGGCCTGTATCTCCTAAATGCCCTCACAATAACAATAAGTATGGGACTGACAAAAAAAGTTAGACATTTCTGGTGAATTAGACAAAGTTATACTAGGGCAGTTAATAAATGCAAATACAGATCAGTTTCTCGACAAATCTTTTACAGAAAATTTAATTATTATTGGCAAAGCCCCTCATGTCACCAGAATTAACAAGATTTTTGGCTCAGAAGGCACTACTTCACAAGATAAAGCTTTCCAAAGTCAGCCTAAATTCTGGTAATTCTGGTATTTAAAGCAATCAGCTTGTTCTTAATCAAAGACAAGGAAAAAAATCAATGTCTCCACACTTATAATTTGCTGCGTATAATCATTACTAATGCCTTTCACTTGGCAGACTAGTCTCCAGCCTTAAGTATATTCAGACAATTGAGAGAACCTACATAAATATCAAATATATCCCTTTTCAGCAAAATGATAACAGTATATACTGAATATGCATATGATTTAAAATGCTCCACTATGGCCACAATAAACTTACCTTAGCCTGCATTCTAATATTACAAAAACCTTTAGAAAAAAAATTATTACCTAGCAACAGTCAGGTGAATAACTGCTCAGCATAAAATAAATCATAAAGCTGGAAGAATATCAGCTAATACTGCTGCATCACGGGATATAAGTGCGATTCCTAACATCAATAAATTTGTCCTTTTGGTAGTAAATAAATCCACATTTGGCATTTATGGTTATGTATGCAGTTATGGGAGAGACAATTAGTGTATCTGAATTCCATATATTTACATCTTAACAAAAAAAAAAGTAAATCAAGAGAGAGAAATCAATGACATATCATAACCAATTATGAACAGGAAAATCAAATCCATAATATATCACAAGTTTATTCACTCTTCCAGCCACATTCACAAAACTTGCAGAATACATTTATTTGAAATATATAATCAACATTCTCTTTAAAAATTACATGCACATGTAAATCATTTGTAACAAAGTCATCCAGAAAGAAGTTAGATATAAATTAATTTCCAGAACTGAGGAAGGCAAACTGTCCTTTCGAACATCTGTTGGCAAAATGTCCTTGCTGTCCACACTGTAAAAAAAAAGAAAGAATATCTCGTTATTTTCACTATTATAGCATCATCACATTTTTTGTAAATATTGATATGCAAATTTACTTAAGAAATGAGCACACCAACACAACTGATTTGGGGGAATGCAATTACCATAAATATACATCTCATTAAGTTTTGTGGTCAGGAAAAGGGCCAACTTTCAAAGAAGACATTACTACAAAAAGCAAGACTGAAAAAGGTCAAAGGAGGCGTTCTGTAGCAAATACAAAACATCTAAAATCCATATGGAGCAGAGTTGCTGTTTGTAGTGTATCTAATATAAATTTTACCCTTAAACAAAAATATGTAAAATAATTTCCAAAGAACACAAAAATACCCATATTAAGTTATTCTTAGCTATATTACTGATTGATATGTGGCAATACACCTTAGCTTGATCTGCCAAGAGCAATGTTACTTATATAAAAAGGTAAATAGTAGTAAGAACCTGGCCATATAAGAGGATGGCATATGCACTAGCTGCATACTGCCCAGAAATGGATATAAAAGCTGTGAGGAGGCCTGTCTTTACTCATGATATACCTGTACACAAATGTAGCACAGTGGGCAGCTGTGAAAATGTTAGGAGTATGAGGAGGCTTTAAATGTGCAAGTTCAATAGCTTCAGGTATTTGCACAACTGTGCTTCCTAAATAAAGTCACTGCACTTTTTGTGTAATATCTATGGTGACTTTGCTTCAAATAAATGCTGTTATTAAAACTTAACATGAAATAATATATTTTCAAATAATTTAGGTTTTCCATATGCTAAATATAAGCTACAATATGTCAGCAGATTAAGGCACAGGCTACTAATAAGTGAAAGAAGTGTTCAGTTGGCATTAAAACCAAGAGATAAACATGGGTTCATTGACCCCAAAGAAGCACAAACCCTCAGGCTTGTCTCTTTCCCATAACTGAAAGTTAGGCAAGATTTTTGGTTTCACTAGGGTTTCGGGCATTTAAAGAGCTCAATTCTACACATCAGAAAACTTCAGATTTCACTGTCATATATCAAATACACAGTGTCCATTGAGCAAAATGTTGCAAAATGTTGGCCAATATGGTGGTTTAATTTCAAGGCTGCTTCACACATACATAGAAGAGCAGAGGCAATGTTTTTCTCCATTGTTTTTGACTGTTGATAAGGCATTTCTCAATAAAAGCATTGAAAATGAAGATTTTAGCTGAGTCTGGAAGGCTATAAAAAACCTCCATAGTCATAGATAAGTATAAGTGCTATCAAGAATTCATGCTTATTCTATGGTATCCATAGATATCACATTCCTGGGTCAACCTCCCAAGGCTGGAAGATGTCTAACAGGCTGAATACTCAATGGCAAGTATAATCAAGCCTTCTCTAGGTTATGTGTACTGAACAGTTGTTTGGCCCTGAATGTAATCATTGAGGAAATGCAGCCCATCAAAAATAGGCTTCAAATCTAATTTTCTAAGAAACTGTGTATGATGAAGCCAAAAACATTGAGAGTAGGACAAAAATGCATTTTAAGTGCCTCTAATTTTTTGCTCAAGCAGCTACCTGTGCGTGAAGCCCAGCACATGGAATGGGTATGATGTGGGATAATCCTACACTGAATGGATTATCAAGCTCATGCTGAACAAAGAGGTAAAAATGTCAATGGTATATATTAGTAATATGAAGGTACTGGAAACTGATGGTAAAAATGGAACCTCAAACATGCAAGTAAATATCTTAGACGATCACCATTACCTTGAAACAAACAATATTATCCAGGCGATTGCTTCCATCATTTTGAGTATCGGGTCCAGAGTTTTCTTTTCCAGGTTGTGTCCTTGGGCCACCTGATGCTAAGCTCTGGAAAAAAAAACATATATGAAAGAATATATTAATATCTACAATTATTTCACTTTTCATCATAAATTATCACAACTGACATTTACTAAAGTAAGTAATTTTTCTCCCCTTCGAAACTGGAAAATACAGATTATCTGCTGATCTCACAAAATGGTCTGATTCCCTTCCAAAACCACAAAAAAAAAGGAGATGAAAAAAGAAGAAGAAGAAAAAAAAGGAATGACTATTAAATAAAAGAGAAAAAAATGACAGGCGTGTGCCACAGCGTAGACTAATTTACAGCACCATTCAAGCCTTGTGATTCTGTGAATGACAGAAATGTGATTTACGTATCACTGCCTGGCTTCTCCCCAATTTCCCTACTTTAAATGTATTATGCACCAACGAGCAACATGTTATTTAGTGTAGTTTCTTTATCCACATTGTGGGTATATATTAATTTCCACAACAATGGACCTAAAAGGTATAATATTCAGCAATTTATAATAATCATACACAGTGTTATACTCTCAGGTTAAAAAGAAAAATCTTTATTCTCTAGATCACTTATGCATATAACATATTCTTCTTCTTCTTCTTTCTCTTTACCCCTTTTTCCTATCTCTATCTAGCTCTCAAAATATGTATGAATAAGCAAAAGGACCTGGATGTACAAATATCATATGCCACTGAACATTTTTATTTTCTGGGCTCTGTTAAACAAAAAATGAACCACTGCTATAACTGTTACCTTGGACACCTACTACAAGTATATAAGACTTGAAGAGAGACTGAAGTTTTGTAGACATACCTACTTCCATCCCCTGCTCATATCCTTCTCAATTCTTCCAATAGTTATATGCAAATCTTAAGCCCTATCAGCTACAAAAAGTCCCTGTGTAATTTCCAAAATTTCATTGGTAATAAAATCTTGCTACTGAATATGAAGTACCTTCTACCATTCAAGTAACAACATCTACTTCCTGCAACAGACCATGACTAGGTTCTATCAGGATTGAAAAATGAGATAAAGAGAGAGAGAGAGAGAGAGAGAGAGAGAGAGAGAGAGAGAGAGAGAGAGAGAGAGAGAGAGAGAGAGAGAGAGAGAAGAGAGAGAGAGAGAGAGAGAGAGAGAGAGAGAGAGAGAGAGAGAGAGAGAGAGAGAGAGAGAGAGAGAGAGAGAGAGAGAGAGAGAGAGAGAGAGAGAGAGAGAGAGAGAGAGAGAGAGAGAGAGAGAGAGAGAGAGAGAGAGAGAGAGAGAGAGAGAGAGAGAGAGAGAGAAGAGAGAGAGAGAGAGAGAGAGAGAGAGAGAGAGAGAGAGAGAGAGAGAGAGAGAGAGAGAGAGAGAGAGAGAGAGAGAGAGAGAGAGAGAGAGAGAGAGAGAGAGAGAGAGAGAGAGAGAGAGAGAGAGAGAGAGAAGAGAGAGAGAGAGAGAGAGAGAGACAGAAGAGAGACAGAGAGAGACAGAGAGAGAGACAGAGAGAGAAGAGAGAAGAGAGAGAAGAGAGAGAAGAGAGAGAGAGAAGAGAGAGAGAGAGAGAGAGAGAGAGAGAGAGAGAGAGAGAGAGAGAGAGAGAGAGAGAGAGGAGAGAGAGAGAGAGAGAGAGAGAGAGAGAGAGAGAGAGAGAGAGAGAGAGAGAGAGAGAGAGAGAGAGGAGAGAGAGAGAGAGAGGAGAGAGAGGAGAGAGAGGAGAGAGAGGAGAGAGAGGAGAGAGAGGAGAGAGAGAGGAGAGAGAGAGGAGAGAGAGGAGAGAGAGGAGAGAGAGGAGAGAGAGGAGAGAGAGGAGAGAGAGAGAGGAGAGAGAGAGGAGAGAGAGAGGAGAGAGAGAAGAGAGAGAGAAGAGAGAGAGAAGAGAGAGAGAAGAGAGAGAGAAGAGAGAGGAGAGAGAGGAGAGAGAGGAGAGAGAGAAGAGAGAGAAGAGAGAGAAGAGAGAGGAGAGAGAGAAGAAGAGAAAAGAGAGAAGAGAGAGAGAAGAGAGAGAGAAGAGAGAAGAGAGAGAGAAGAGAGAGAGAAGAGAGAGGAGAGAGAAGTGAGAGAAGAGAGAGAAGAGAGAGAAGAGAGGAGAAGAGAAGAGGAGAGAAGACAGAGACACTGCATATCACTCACAATAATGGCATTTTGTTCCCGCAACTCTGGATTTGCTCTGAAGCAGTGAGACAGTTTATGGCCGGCCTCTCCACAGTAATGACATGTTATTCCTAATTTCTTGTGAGGCTGTTGCTTGTCATCTGTAACTTGCGGCAGTTCAAATCTTGGGCTGAAAAAGAAAAACAATTAATTATAATCAATGCATAAGGATTTTAGGACCTTAAATGCCCCTACTAAGTAAAAGTATGTTGTTGTGGCAAAACACTGAGAAAGTTTCACTGAAAAAGTTTCTCTGGTTCAAAACACTTCTCTCATTGAAATGCAAAAAACAAAAACAAAAAACAAACTAGATTGCCTTTTCTGAGTTCAGCTCAACTTGTAAACATTGAGGGGTTATCAAATACTTAATTTTTCTAAATCCTATATACACAATTAGTTGCTGATTATCATGCCCTAGGGAATGAAGTAGTCGATCTGGAAGTTGTAAAGAATGAAACTACGATAATTATTCTTAAATGTTCCTGAAACAAGATGTGAACATAAGAATGGATAAAAAATGAACAGTTTGGTTTAGTACCATATTTGGTGTTAAAGTAATCAGGGAACCCTCTATCTTACAAATTTCCAAAAGCAATCAAAATATTTAATAATGAAGCCAGCTATTAGCTTCATCAACACTCCATACTAAAACTCTTGGTTGTAACACGCAAATACATATCCTAATTAAATATATTCAAAAGTTAGACTAGGTAGGCAGTCTTTTTCACCACTGAAAATATAGGTAATGGATACATTTCACACAGATGACCCCAAAAAAGAAACTATTCCCATTGATATATTCCAACATATAATTTATCAGTATGCCCTTGCAACATTTAGAAGTCAATGCTCCTTCCAGTCTGATCAGGCCAGTTGCACTTATGGATCTAAAATCATTATGAGGCAGGGGCTTAGCTTGGAAGCCGTAAACTGGGATTTTCATTAAGATGAAGTGGGTCTACTTGCATAAAAGATACCTTGCTTCTTGCTGTAGAATTCTTATTCAATAATCAGGCAATTTCCACATTTCCTAGAGTGCTCTTCAGGTTCTAAAATACTGATTTAAAGAGCAAATGTTGCATTTATATTGCAAATGATATCAGAATAAAAGCATACTGACCAAAAGTATGGAACCATGTTATACATTTCGTGTGAATGCCACCATACATTTCATGATTATGTTGACTGACATGTGGTAAGCATAATGTCTACATTGACTCTGGAAATTTTTTTCTAGAACCTCACACATTTTTAGAATCTCTTGGAAGGAGAATGTGGTCTGGAAGCATTCTGACAAATTTCCATTAAAAAAGTTCATTTCTGGTTCACATGCAACAAGAAAAAATGCAATGCTGTAACCATGAGAATTAGACTTTGATAAAATTAGGAGTAAATTAATTGATGTCATTTTAAAAAGAAGTTTCCATCAACCACATTCCAGCCAAGTTCTATGAATTATTCTGGAAGGTTCATTTATACAAATACATAAATAATTTATGTGCATTATGAGGCACGTGGTGCTAAAGTATACTGACTGAAAAAAGGCATGAAAATATTGAAACTTTGCTTGACAAAATATGATTGAATAATAAAAAATTATAGTAAAATCAATATATTACCTCTTCTTTTAATTCATACAATAAGGTGGAAATTCACTAGTCTTTCTAACTTAAATGTCTTAGATTGAAGAAACTTGCACAGATGAGAAACCTTCAAATTTCAATGAAAGTTTAAATGCAATGATATCAATCACCTTGGCTCCATGAGACTGTATTTTTGTTTATTAAATTAGACCTATGGTATATGACAAAGCAAGCTCATGATGCCTTAATTTCTAAAGAACTTACATAAATCAGGTGTTATTTTGTTCACGGATTCAATAACAACAACAATATTAATAAAAACATCAATATTAACAATAATAATCATACTTACTGCATGAATTTACAATTAGAACCATCGGGACAGAAACCAGCAAAGTAGTTCATGCACAGTACACGGCGAACGTGGCGATTCCTACACTGTGGGCCGTGGCGACAGAATCCTCTATCGTACCACGGACAATCCTTCATTTTCATGTCGGGATTAATGTGAAGAAAGGGACACTCCTTGTTGTGGCAAGCATCTGAAAATAGTGCGTTTCGATTATATCATTCATCCCACTTTCTCCTTATATCCATCTTGATATTCTATCTTTAATTATTACAGAATACTAATATGTAAGATTACAAAATCAAATCTACCCAATAAAAACTCTATTATTAGGGGAAATAATCAACTATTTATATCAATACAGTTCATACTTTTTTTTTTTTCTTTATATTTGGGAGATCTCATTTCTCATCAATAATATTGTATTTTCAATCAAAACAGAATATCAATATGTAGAATTACAAAATCTATTTTACTGGATAAAAACTAAACTATTAGGGAAATAACCAACTATTTACATATATATATATATATATATATATATATATATATATATATATATATATATATATATATATATATATATATATATATATATACAGTTCATACTTTTCTTTTCTGTTTGGCAGATCTCATTTCTTATCAATGATATGGCATTTTACAATGAAAATGATGACATGCATAAAAAGAAGAAGAAGAAGAAGAAGAAGAAGAAGAAGAAGAAGAAGAAAGAAAGAAAGAAAGAAAGAAAGAAAGAAAGAAAGAAAGAAAGAAAGAAAGAAAAAAAAAAATCATGCTTCACTTACTAAATCTTGAATAGAAATAACACTCAGGCATCTTTGACATGTCGTACTCGTGAAGAAATTCGCAACGATCTCCCTTCTTGCAAAGACCTCGAAGCCAATGTTTGCACACCACTGTCCTATCTCCACACACATGTCGGAAAGGGCAATTCACGCTTTTGCTGCAATTTCCCCGCATATAAAATGTGCATACTGCAGCCACAGATTCTGAAAATGAAAGAAAAAAGAATGAATAACAGATAAGAAAGATTCTAGAGAGTCCATTATTTAAATAAATTATCAAAACCTTCTTTATAAGAAAATACCATCAATTTTCCCCATCCCATTTTCTATATCCTAATCTGTTTTGATCTATTCAAGTGAAAATTTAGTGTTTTAAAATAAATTTTCACACACACACACACTCTTTCATTCACACACACATACACTCACACACTCTTAACAGTATCAAATTAGTAATATCATGGATACTCAGCATGTAACTACTGGTATGTAAATCTTTTACACATAATTTTTTCTGATGCTTCATCTACCAACAAGAAACATGTTAAGGCTTATAATGGCTTATAATATTACCAATACTTATACCTGTGCTCAGATTACACAAAAGTGATTTCTGAGACAACTCTCTCAGACATTACTTGCTCCTAACAAGTAAAAAAATATACATAACTTGATTCTCCTGGATGGATTTGGGGGAG